AATTGAAAAGAAATAAAGAGACTACAGAGAAGGAAAGCAGGAAGTAGCGAATGATAGTGATGTAATGAAAGAGGACAAGGTACATAAGCACTACGTTCCTGATTGTGTAATCGAAAGCAATTAGACAAACCAAAGAATGTATTTTATCATTCGAGATGAACGGTGGGGAGATTAGAAAAATATTTATTTCACAAAGTGAGAAGACATGTTTATTATGGTGTCTTATGTAGTTATGCTTATCTAGTAGTATCCATTCAAGGCCACAAAGACCTAGAGATTGTACAAGTGTGCTTATGTGATCAACTGTCATAAAATATTTCAAATATATGATTTTTAATGTTCGCCCATCATGATTCCTGCCAGTTCATCAGCAATCATATTGTCATAGGAAAATATTTGAATGTCTCGCCGTCCTATTTAAAGATTTCCAGACTTAGTCCTTTAGACCATATAAATCAAAATCGAACATCACTTAAACTATAGAGAAAAGAAAGACTCTATGTCTAAACAATCATGATAATTAAACAAATATGTATTTGAAAATTCCCTAAAAAATATTTATTTAATAAGTCGTTCTAATAAATTTAATTTAAAAACTAATTTGTTATCACAATTCTATTTACAGATGTGGAAATGTGGCAGCTATTTTAGAATTAAATGAGTACCTACACCGTGATTTTGTCATTTTTGAAGCAGCACCTCAAGAAAGTCGAGGTATACCATCTAAAAAGCCTCAGGCGGACTATTTCCTTTAAGTAACATCTGCACGACGATAGACAGTAAATACAAAAAAAAACACCATCATTAACAAACTTAAATCACAATGTCGACAAAATATCTAGAAATCTTAATAATTTAACATTAAGAAAACAATATTTTTGTGGAACTGTAAAAATTTTTACGAAAAAATACTTTTCAATTATTAAATAAACATACAAAAATATTCCACTAAAATAAATAAAATGACTTGAAAAAATATAAAAAAAAAAATTAAAAAAAAAACTAAAACATAAAATTTAACAAATAACTTTAAAAAAACTACAAAAACAGATTCTTTTAATAAATGTTAGTTATAGTTACCTAAGTATTAAGTTAGAACAACCACAACAACAACAACAACAAAAAAACAAATAAAAGAAAACAAACACATTTAATAAAAAAATACAATATAATTAAAAAAATAAAACAACAAAAAATAATTTAATTTTTAAAACAAAAAAATGTTTTGCTGCTTTTTAAAAAGAAGAAGAATAAAAGATTTTTTTTAAAAAAACAAAAATTTTTGCTTTAAATATATGATTTTGTATAATAAAACGAAATAAATATAAAAAAAAATCTATATAAAAATTACAAAACAAACAAAAATTGAAAAATAAAAACAAATATTTTATTTAATTTGGTGAATTTATAGGGAAAAGTTTTAAAATGTCTCCTGATTATTTTACAATTGAGGTTATAACACAGAAAAAATAAAAAAAAAAACTGCCGCATTCTTTAACAATTTAAAAAGGAATGTATTTTCTAAAACAAATTACAAAAAACACATTCTTAAAATAGACAAACAAACAGCTGAAATTGAAAACACAGAAATGGAAATTTTAAGTTAAAAAATAATTATTAAAATCATGATTTTGTTTAACAAATAAACAAAACTTAATAAATTTCTTCAATTTTTTTTTTAAATGCATTAATTAGTATTTAATTTATGCCTGCTGTTTATTTTAAATCCTTATTTCCTTTTTTATACTTTTTATAATTTCATTTAGTTCTTTTCCTATTTGCCTTTAATTAGTTTTCCTGTTTAGTTTAATGTATAAATAGTTGAAAAAAAAAACACACACATTTTTTAATAAAAAATACCATCAATCCACAAACAACCATTTTATAAATGCTTTACACTCATAATGAACATTAATATTATAATAATCTATTTTATAATTACAACAAATATCAATTCTAAGTTGTTTATTCTGTTAAAAAAAAATGTACAATTTCTTTAATTTATCAGGGTTTTTTTGTAAAGAAAAACACTACACATAAAAAGAAAAACAATAAGAAAAAAACTAAAAGAGAGAAAAAAATAAAGAATATTAATATTCAACAAAACTGTATTTTTAATTAAATACTATCGAGCTCTAATAACATCTAACTTAGTCCCAGAATGCCGGACATATCCCTTAATGAGATGGAGGACTCTATTGCCAAGTTGGGTTCCTCACTTGCCGACACTTTCTTCGGCATACCACTTTCAACCTGCAAACGCTCTATACGTGAAAAACTATAAGAGCTTGCGCAATGCAGATGGTCGACTGAGGCCACCTGCAGGCAGGCGAGGATCATATGGCGTGGTAATGAGGTTGCTAGATTAGATTCGTACCTTCATAAAGATGACAGGGAAAGGATGGTAAAACCATCCATTTGTCACTATTGTAGGTTGATATTCGAAAGAATCTGTGACATCATAAACCAATTATGGAATAATAGATTGGGTTGCAAAATATCAAAGGCCTTGTGGGCAACACTTGATATGGGTGCTACAAAAAAAAAAACTTTCTTGACTGGATAAACGCAGTCTGAGTATGCTAACGGGCCATTGATCAGTTAGGGCCTTTGTCAGTAGGTGGGACAGTAATACTAATACCGAACTATTGCAGATTATGCGATGATGAGGAGGAATTAGAGACGATTGAACATATAATTTGCCACTGCCATAGAATACAAAATATTAGGCTGAAATGGCTAGGGAATAGGTTAATTGACGAACTGGGAAAAATTACGGGACTTAACCCTCGCAGTCTTCTAGGGAATTAGTCACTTCTTCGGGTTTTATAGGGGTACATAGAGTTTCTCTCTCATTTCTTTCTTTCTTTGGGGTACTGACTTGATAAATATTTCGGCTTGAGAATAAACCTGTTTCCATTCATCTATCCTCTCTATTTATTTTCTTTCTTCCATGTTTTCTTATAGTGTTTTTGTTTCTCTGTCTTTGGATTTTCACTCTTGGAAGGGATTCACAATGGAAGTGCACCTTTTTATGGTGCATAACCCTTCTTAACCTAAACCAAAGGCAGTCGTAATACCAAGAGTACAACTTTACTCGGGTACAAAAGGTTCCTTTGCCCATAAGAGATTAATAGAGAGAAAAAGAAAAATAGATAGTGGGAGAGTATAGAAGTGTAGTCATGAGTATTAAAGATACATATATAAAAATATATATTGCACTAAAAAACTACACTTAGAAGATTAGAGCAAATTATAAATTCACACCCATTTCAACAAGTTTGAATTTATTCGTTCTGACTGAACGTTTGACGCATCAAATGTTTGAAAAAGAGTTGTTTCTAGGTCCGGATAATTACACAAAAGATGAGTTAAGGTTTTGTCTTCGTCCTTGTTTATGGTTTCTAAATTTGTAGTGGTCAGAGATATCTGATATCAGAGCGCCTAATAGATACGAGGACACAGCGCTGTAGCGATTGAGCATCGATCTTGACATCCAGCTTTTGTATTTAACTGGGGACGAAAGAGTATTTAGACAGAATTTTTCAAGGTCGCCTCGTTTCTGGAGAGCTTTTTATATTACTGTAGAAGTCTCTTCACACTTTACGTTTCGCATTCCAAACCAGGGGCCGTATTAGATTTCTTGTTCGGCATCTTGTTCTTATTCACGAATCCATTCATGAATCCAGGCAGTTTAGATGCCATGTTACTACTTAGAAGCATGAAGCATGATATGAACAAGTTTAACTTGTTTTTATCAAAAATATTACCTGAACAGTTATTTATTGAACTTAGCCATTATGGATCCAATATCTTGGAAGAGGATTTGCTTCTTCCTAGAGTTAGTTCTTTAGAATTTCAATCGGTGTTCCTGAGGGATGTAATATCAGGAACAACATTGCTCTTGAGAAGTTTGACTCTAGTTTCGACGAAATCCTGGCAATTACAGAGAATATCATCCAGCGGTCCACTGTTCTCTCTGCATGATTTAAGCATTCGTCTGAATCCGTTAGTCAAATTTTGTATAGAATACACAACCTTAATAAACAGACGCATAATATAACTAACTTTGGTATTGAGAGGCTTTCCTCCAACGTTCCGCTTGGCAACGATCACCTATCTAGGACCAATTTCTTACAGTTTGTGTACAACCATCAAATATGTCCAGTAAACATTGTAAACGGTTTAGGTGAAGTTGCTTAAAGAACCACTCTGATGTAAGTGCCTCCCCGTATCTTAAATGCGTTTCGATCGGAAGAATGTACTGTCATCTTTCTAAAGCATTTTTCGATGTAGTACTCATGGCACCACTCTGAACTTTCTGTAGTGATATTATGTTACAGGCTTCGTCCATAGCAGTCCACCTGATTATATGAATGTAAGTTTGAATTGGTCGAATTACGCTGACCGCATTTCGAGCCTAATTAACTTCTATATAACGTCAAACTTCGATATACTTTGTTGGATCTATCTTCTACGTGGCATTTCCATTATAGTTTACGTCCAAGGATTAAGCCTAGATATTTTACCATGTCTAAGAACGTAACTCAGATTTCCATGTTTGGGAATAAATGCTACCTGCCATCTAAGCGGAGTATATGCATTTTTATCTAATAAAATGTTTGAGAATATCAGCCTTAGTTTTTAAACCTCCGAATAATTTATTATGTTTTGGTATTAATTGTAGTAAACAAATCGACGGAAATAGACTCTTCGAAATTGCCTTAAACAATTAATTATTTTAACTGCATGTGAATTAAATAATTCTTTAAATTTACTATTGTTTTGTTAGCATTATTAAAAGTCAAGCGATAATATTAAATTTAATTAATTAATGTTCATCTGTTTAGTTCATATTTAGTTTTATTACTTTGTGAAAAAATCGATTGTTTATTTAAAGATTATATTTTTATTAATATATTCTCAGACAATTAAATATGATCTTAGAAAAGAGAAGTAAAAAATTTGTTAATTATACATTTTTTGATTTTAAAAATTGATCACATTTCTTAAGTATAAATAAAGTTACGAAAATTGTATACTATTAGTCCATTTTACATTTGATAGTCGAAAAAGTTAATAAAAATGAAGTTCTTTCTTGGATTAGGATTTTTATTTATGGCGGTTTATAATATACAGGTAAATAGATATTATAATGGTTCGAACAGCGATTTAAAATCCGGATCAAGTAGGACACCTGAACCAACTTAGAGGACAAATTGCATTAATATAAAGCTTTAGATCGTATGGAAAAGTTTCGTCGCGATAATTCAAGTCCTATTTGTAAGATTCTCTAGCATAATTTCTTAATATCGAGCTCTGGTTCGTATGGACCAAGTCCTGAAGCAAAGTTGAAATTACTATGTTCCAAGTTTTTATATAAAGCAATGAATAAAGTTCCATGGGTTCTCCAGCTTTCAATGACTCTGAAAAATTATCAGGCCAATTGCTTAGAAATCCCTATAAAGTTTAGTTCTATTGTTATGTCTAAAGAACTTGATTATATTTGATCTTAAATTTCTATATTTTCTGATTTAGGCTGCAGTAAGCAAGGATGAAGCAATGGCCATTGTAACTAGCTGCAAAGAAGAAACTGGGGCCTCTGATGGTAAAGAAAACTTTAAAAATATGTACATTGTTTAGAATTAAAGTTTCATAAATCGACTTCCCAATAATCGAGCTTTTCTTTAATCGTCTAACTATAAAACTCTGATTTTCAGCCGACTTTGAGGCCATAATTAAACATCATTCGGCCCAGACTCAAGAGGGTAAATGTTTGTTGGCTTGTTTCTTAAAAAAAGCCAATGTGGTAAGTGTAATTTTTTGATAGGATTTTATTAACTAAATATCGGGGTCTAATGTCATTTTAAACTACAATTCCAGATGGATGATGCTGGTAAAGTAATTAAACATGCAGCTTTAGACATTTCAGAATCCCTTATATCAAGTGAAGATGAAAGGGCTCTTGTTGCTGATATAATCGATATCTGTGATGACATCGATCTCAGTGATGAACAGTAAGTTCTTTTTTTTTTTTAAGTTTTAATTTATTTTTAATTTCATTTTCTTATTTTAGCTGCGAAGCTGCCTTTGAATATGGCGAATGCTGGAAAAAGGAAGTTAAGTCTAGAGGTATTTCTGCAGATCATTTTGTTTAGTACTGATGTACGGCTTTGGCTCTTGTCTAAAGGACATTTCTTTTGGGAATCAATAATATTTAGGGAATTTTAATTAAAAGTGTCAACAATGTATTTCCAGTATTTTTATTAAAATTTATTATTTTATTTTGAGCATATGAAAAAATCTAAATAAAACTATATTTTTTATTTATTTCATAGTTTTGTAATTGGATTAAGTTTTAGTTAATAATAGAGATTAGATTATAGTCAAGACTATTGACTAGACTATACGTTAGACTATAGTAAAAGCAAGACTAACTAAACTAAAGTCAAGACTTTAGACAGGACTATAGTCAATACTATAGACTAGACTATATTGAAGACTACACAATACTATAGCCAGGACTATAGACTTTACTATAGTCAAGACTATAGACTAGACTATATATTTACCGTAAACAATTAGAATCACGTGAATTTTTTGAGATGAGGAGAGGAAGGTTCATCTATATATATAAAATTCTAACGTTACTGACTGACTGACTGATTCACTGACTGATTCATCATCGCACAGCCTAAACGGTTGAAGCTAAAGAGCTGAAATTTGGACAGGAGGTTGGTCTCCCGCCAAATAGATCCACTAAGACGGGATTTTTGGAAATTCGAATGTTTAGGGGGTAAAAAAGGGTAAAAACGGGTAAATTCGGTAACCTTATATATCCTAAACTAGAAAAGATACAAAAACAGTTTAAAGCTTATCGCCGTTCATTTAAAAAATAAACGGACAGGTGTCTGGTACTTTTTTAAAATTCGGCCCCTTTAGGGAATAAACGGGTATGTATCTTTGTATCTTTTAAACCAGTGCACATTCAAAAAATATTTTTGACTCCTTCATAACTTAACGAAAAAATAAAAATATGAATTTAGTACTTTTTGAATATTCGGACGTTTAAGGGGTTAAAATTGTACCTATTTTTGGTACTTTTTTCATAAAATATTGTTTTTGGTTTATTAACTTATACATATGAATACATAATAACGGGCTCCCACTACGATGTTGCAACTTTTTGGAATAGAATTTTTATTTCGTTAATGGGGAGGAAAAAAGTACCAAAAGGGGTAAAAACGGGAAATTTGATTTTATTCAACCACAATGATCCAATTTAGATAAAATTTTTAAATTTAGAAACACTAAATATCCTAATGGGGTGTTATTTGGAACCCTGATACCAAGTGATATTTTTTGGTACTTTTCATTCTCCAACTGGTCCTTTTTGAGTTTTCTATGATATTGAAATAGAAACATGAAATTAATAATAAAGGGACTTTTCGCTACTTTTTCGTTCTACACAGGTACTTTTTTGAGTTTTCTTTAAAATTAAACCTAGAAACATGAAATTAAGCATATAGAGCTCGGAGTAAATGAGAATCTATAAAATGGGACTTTTTGGTACTTTTTCGTTCTTCAAAAGGTACTTTTTGAATTTTCTATAATATTGAACCTAGAAACATGAAATTAAACATGTAGAGACCGGAGTAAATGAGAATCTATAAAAGGGGACTTTTTGGTACTTTTTCGTCCTTCGACTGGTACTTTTTGAGTTTTCTATAAAATTTAACCTAGAAACATGAAATTAAGTGCGGAGGCCTTAGTTAATGAGAATCTATAAAAGGGGACTTTTTGGTACTTTTTCGTCCTTCGACTGGTACTTTTTGAGTTTTCTATAAAATTTAACCTAGAAACATAAAATTAAGCATGTAGAGCCCTTAGTAAATGAGAATCTATAAAAGGGGACTATTTGGTACTTTTTCGTCTTTCGACTGGTACTTTTTGAGTTTTCTATAAAATTTAACCTAGAAACATGAAATTAAGCATGTAGAGCCCTTAGTAAATGAGAATCTATAAAAGGGGACTTTTTGGTACTTTTTCGTCTTTCGACTGGTACTTTTTGAGTTTTCTATAAAATTTAACCTAGAAACATGAAATTAAGCATGTAGAGCCCAGAGTAAATGAGAATCTATAATAGGGGACTTTTTGGTACTTTTTCGTCCTTCGACTGGTACTTTTTGAGTTTTCTATAAAATTGAACCTAGAAACATGAAATTAAGCATGTAGAGCCCTTAGTAAATAAGAATCTATAAAAGGGGACTTTTTGGTACTTTTTCGTCCTTCGACTGGTACTTTTTGAGTTTTCTATAAAATTTAACCTAGAAACATGAAATTAAGCATGTAGAGCCCTTAGTAAATGAGAATCTATAAAAGGGGACTTTTTGGTACTTTTTCGTCCTTCGACTGGTACTTTTTGAGTTTTCTATAAAATTGAACCTAGAAACATGAAATTAAGCATGTAGAGCCCTTAGTAAATGAGAATCTATAAAAGGGGACTTTTTGGTACTTTTTCGTCCTTCGACTGGTACTTTTTGAGTTTTCTATAAAATTTAACCTAGAAACATGAAATTAAGCATGTAGAGCCCAGAGTAAATGAGAATCTATAAAAGGGGACTTTTTGGTACTTTTTCGTCCTTCGACTGGTACTTTTTGAGTTTTCTATAAAATTTAACCTAGAAACATGAAATTAAGCATGTAGAGCCCTTAGTAAATGAGAATCTATAAAAGGGGACTTTTTGGTACTTTTTCGTCTTTCGACTGGTACTTTTTGAGTTTTCTATAAAATTTAACCTAGAAACATGAAATTAAGCATGTAGAGCCCGGCGTAAATGTGAATCTATAAAAGGGGACCTTTTGGAACTTTTTCGTCTTTCGACTGGTACTTTTTGAGTTTTCTATAAAATTTAACCTAGAAACATGAAATTAAGCATGTAGAGCCCGGAGTAAATGTGAATCTATAAAAGGGGACTTTTTGGTACTTTTTCGTCCTTCGACTGGTACTTTTTGAGTTTTCTATAAAATTTAACCTAGAAACATGAAATTAAGCATGCGGAGGCCTTAGTTAATGAGAATCTATAAAAGGGGACTTTTTGGTACTTTTTCGTCTTTCGACTGGTACTTTTTGAGTTTTTTATAAAATTTAACCTAGAAACATAAAATTAAGCATGTAGAGCCCTTAGTAAATGAGAATCTATAAAAGGGGACTATTTGGTACTTTTTCGTCCTTCGACTGGTACTTTTTGAGTTTTCTATAAAATTTAACCTAGAAACATGAAATTAAGCATGTAGAGCCCTTAGTAAATGAGAATCTATAAAAGGGGACTTTTTGGTACTTTTTCGTCTTTCGACTGATACTTTTTGATTTTTCTATAAAATTGAACCTAAAAACATGAAATTAAGCATATAGAGCCCGGAGTAAATTGGAAACTATAAAAGAGGACCTTTTTGGTACTTTTTTGTTCTTCGATTGGTACTTTTTGATTTTTCGATAAAATTTAACATAGAAACATGAAATTAAGCATGTAGAGCCCGGAGTAAATAAGAATCTATAAAAGGAGACTTTTTTGTACTTTTTCATTCTTCGACTGGTACTTTTTTCAGTTTTTTATAAAATTTAACCTAGAAACATAAAATTAAGCATGTAGAGCCCTTAGTAAATGAGAATCTATAAAAGGGGACTTTTTGGTACTTTATCGTACTTCGACTGGTACTTTTTGAGTTTTCCATAAAATTAAATCTAGAAACATGAAATTAAGCATGCAGAGGCCTTAGTTTATGAGAATCTATAAAAGTGAACTTTTTGGCACTTTTTCGTCCTTCGATTGGTACTTTTTGAGTTTTCTATAAAATTCAACCTAAAAGCATGAAATTATGCATATAGAGCCCGGAGTAAATGAGAATCTATAAAAGTGGACTTTTAAGTACTTAAAATTGAGTACACATATACAATCATCCTTTCTTCAAATTAGGGAATTACCAATATTTAAAAATTTGTAATCTTTGTAAAACATATTATTTTTTCCTTGCTAAATGAAGAGCCAACATATTTCTCATTCTATAAAAACCCTCGCTAACAAAGTAGCGGGTAATAAGCTAGTCTTTTATAAAAGAAAACAGAAATAAAAAGCAAGTCAGATTTCTATACATATTCCGCTGGGCCGAATCTTATATACACAGAAAAAAATTACAAATTTTTAATGGGGAAGTAAATTATTAACAATTATTTTTATTAAAATGTTTGTAAAGTTATCATATTGACAATTTTCATGAGTTGTTTAATGGAACACCAGCAACATGCCATCCGCTAAAAGTATCAAATTCACTCAAGTGATGTGTCCATGGGCAAAACTTTTCCAAAAATAAAATCTCACAATTTTTATGGATACCTTTGGCTGTTTTCAATACCCTGCAGTGGACTGCCTATACGTACATTTATATTCTCTAGCATTAACTTAAGAAAGTATTAATAGTGTATTAAAAGTGTATTTTTCTTAGTAAATAATGAAAACCACATATGAATTGCATTTTTAATAAAAAAATTATTACAAATATATTACTAAGAAAACAAATTTAACTACCAACAAAATAATTTTTACCCCCTCATTTTATAAAACGAAACTTTCGTTAACGTAAAAAATTTGTATGAAGAATACTGGGAAATTTATGAAAATTTGAATTTTTTCCATACAAATTTTTTTGAACGTTTGTCGTTTCGTTTTATAAAATGAGACCCTTAAACATGATTGTTAAAAAAATTTTTTTGATTGTTAACAAATATGTTATTCTATTTCACAAATTGGTTGTTAAAAAATGTTGTTAAAAGTTAACAAATTTAAATAACAAATATATTTTTTGTATTTACAATATTGGTTGTTGGTGCCTTTTTAATTAAAAAATTAATTGTATTTACGAATTTGGTAATTAATATGACAATTGATTTGTCGTAATTTTTTTCTGTGTACTCTTCACCAAGTATGTTTTAAAAAACAGCTTTTATTTATTTTTAGAATTTAATTTAATTTTATAAAATTTCAATTAATTTTGCATCAACTTGTATTTTGCACAAATGTCACAAATAACCAGACCTGGGCGATTTCCATTAATTTTGCATTAACATTAAATTAAAAAAAAATTAATTTAATGTAAAAAATATTGCATTAACATTAAATTTGTAAGATTTAATGCATTAAATTTCCATTAACATTAAATATTTTTGAATTTAATGCATTAATTTTACATTAACATTAAATATTTTTGAAATTAATGCATTAATTTTGCATTAATATTAAATATATGTGAATTTAATGCATTAATTTTACATTAACATTA